CACTTTGGGTCCCGACCCCAACTTTGGGAAACACTGCTACTGAGTCTTTTTGACGTTCTATATCTTCTTTATTATCCTGACACAACATGGCTGAGGCTCAGTCACTGTCAGCAAATTATTTCTCTCACACCATCCGCACCCTGTAAAACCCACCCATCGGTTATTGCATCATTTAACGTTAGCATAAAGACAGTCCCATTTGGTTTTTCATCATAAATGTTTATAAATTAAACTTTCCTTTTGCTTTGGGAAGTTTTTTTTATATATATTAGTCTTGGACACAAACATTACAACTAACAGTTTGCATATCAGTATGTGGGGGAAAAAATCCACATTGAATAAAAAAATGTAATTCAATCGCTAATATAAAATATAAAATATCTGTATACAAATACATTCAGGCTAAGGCTCTCAAGCAACATAAAKAATCTAAAATATATATTTAGTAATGCTGTTTTTAGCTTTTTTAACATTATTTCTCACTCATTAGTGAATATGTCAAAGACGATTTTACAAAATATTTCATTAAATTGCTTCCAGATTCCCTGATGCTGCTGTCAGTCTGCTACTGTTTTCTGTAATGCGCTACAAAAACCACTGCAGCTCATCGTAGCCGTCCATTTAAGAAAAGCAATAAATAATCAAATAAATTAACTTTTCAAAAAATGACCCTCTGTGTGACCACTGTTCGACTTCACGAGAAATTCTAAAGAATTGTGTAAAAATGCTCTTGAAGTCGTTTAAAGCAGCCAATCGTTAAGTTTCTTCTTTTTTTTTTTTTAAAGAGGAACCCTGAATGCAGAATGTATCATTCCAAATATTACAGCCAGTTCTTTCTGTTCAAGTTTGGTCCCTGAGGTGAAAATGTCATTTCCTTCTCCCAGCTTCCATGTGTCTCCTGGTTACAGCCTCCAGCCTCTTCTTCTCAGCCTCCTCTGCTTTCCTCCTCTGCTCCTTCAGCTCCTTGTACCTCCACTTGGGGATCTGCAGAAAGTTGCCCCCTCCGTCCTTGATGCTGCTTTTCCTCCGAACTATTTCTGGTTCGTAGGTGGGYGTCGGGGCCTTTGAAATCCTGACCTTGGGGATGCTGAACCCGGGCCTGACGCTGCTCCGCCTCAGCACCATGTGCATCGGCAGCAGGCTGGTTCTGCGCAGCTCCAGGGCCTGGTTGTAGGCCACCATGCCCAGGCTAGAGCTCCTCTGTCGGGGCGCCGATTTCTGGACCTGAAGGCTGGGCCGACGGTCCTCTGCGTTCTTGGCCACCAGGGTGACCCGGGAGTTCTGGAAGAGTTTCAGGTGGCTGTCCGCTCGAGCAGGGTTGGTGGAGCGGAGCTCTCTGGCACGCTGCTGGCGGATGATCTCTGGCACGGCGTACCGCCGCTTGCCCACACTTGGAGGACTGTCGGGACACACCTGCAACCAAACCATCATTTTCTGATCAGCATTATAATATCTGTAAAATAATATTAGTTGTTCTGTAGTAGAAATAATCAGTATCACCCACCTCCAATAATTAAAAAAAAACAAAACAATGCAATGATGTTTTTGCCTCCGTCTGTGCAAACATGTTTGGTGAAATAGCTAAACAGACCGAGCTAATACCTGGTGTGGTGGTAGCTGAGACTAATTCCCAACCTATTTTGCAGAGGTTTGTAGTAACTAAGTATATTTACKTTGTTATAATACGTAAGTACTTTTTTTGAGGATTTATAACTTTACCAAGTATTACTTTAAAATTTAACACCTAGTTACTGATTACAAGTGGCCACACCACCCTGAACACATCAGCTCTTGTCGCTGCTTAGAAGCTAAGCATGGTCAGACCTGGTAAGTACTTTGATGGGAGACCACCTGGGAATACCAAGTGCCATAAAACCAATGTGGGAGTTAGCAATATAAAACCTTTGACTGTCATAGGTCACCTAAGGATAAAGAAAAATTGTTAGGAAATTAAGTTTGCTGAAACTCATCGTGAAAGATGTTAATGCGCTCTAAAAAAAATGAAGTGTTGAATTTACTCAACAAGTCATGTCAACTGGTTCCACTAAACCTGGAAGAGTAAATACCCTGACAACAAAAATGTTGAGTTATGGTGAAAAAAGTTGATTTTTTGTTAAGGCCAACGATTGATGGTGAATCAACCATCAAACAATCATCCAATTTTAGCCAAATAAACAATGTTAAAAAGATGTTGTTTAATCAATGTTTCATGGTTGAATTCTAATGATTGAAATGCCAACATCTAATCAATGTTGAATCAACATTCATATATTACCAGTTATGGTTGAAAACCTGAAGTTGTTTCAACAAATAAGTTACCGACCACTTTTTGTATAATTTCAAAATGAATTCAGTATCATGCCTGACCATATTTCAGTGTTGATTCACTCATATTTTGCTTTCTGGATATGAAGCAATATCCATATTTTCTTTAATAGAAAATATACATATTGCTTTATTTACTTGGTTTAGTGGAACCAGTTTGGTTAGGTAAATCCAACAGTTTATTTCTTAGAGAGTGCAAAAGTACTTTTACTTTACAGATTTTTGTGAACAGTTTTATGACTTTTACTGAAGTACTTTTCTCATCAGTGAAATTTAATTTTACCAAAGTCATTCTCTGTTTAGGTATTTGTACTTTTACTTTTGCTATATTGTTTGCACTCTACAAATGACTGAAATCAGTTCACACAAAATGGGTTTAAAACAGACAGTTRAACAGATATTGAGCTAAACTGTGGTGTGGTAATAGCTGAGCATTATTTCCAACACAAACTCTAACACTTTTTGATGTTGTGCATAAATTTAGGGTTTAACAAAAACAGTTAACTTAATCATTTCAACATTAAAAAAATCTTGGTTTSAAACAGGAAAAGTGGTGGGCAACAATCGCTGCATCATGGAATACAAGGCCTTTAATGTTTCTGAAYGTTGTCTTAACGTACAGCAAGACTCTGTCATCCTTTTGTATTTTGTTGTTCTATTAATCCTGCATGAATAACCTGCTTATCGGATAAAGCTTGAATTAATTACACCCTTTAATTATGATTACCAGAAACATTTTTGATTAACAAAAGATGATTTAGGGTTGTGTTTATCCTTTAAAGACTAATTACCTCCATAATCCATGCAGGCAGGAGAACAGCAGGAAAACGTCTCCTCATCAAAAGCCCTACTTGCTGTTCTGCTGTATCTTATCTTAGTTTTCAAATGAATCTTTCTTGTTGTCTTTTAGGAAAAGGGAAAGAGGTCATGATGGATTCTTAGCTGAGTTTTTAATTTAAAATTGACAACATTCTACAAAATATGTTTTCATAGCGAAGGTCCTGAATGTTTCTCTTTCAGTGACAGCTGTGCTAGTTTTCTTCTCTGAGCATATTGTTTTTTTCAGGCCTGTACCTCTCACTTTGCAGCTTCAATGAAATCAATGAGCAAGTTTACAGATTACTGTAAATGCTAGAAAGTTTGTGCCACCCAAAATCGTTTCTTGTAAAAAGTAGAAAAGCTGCACTGCATAGAATAAATAATTAATTAAATAGAAATTAATACGGGAATGGCTGGGCAAACAAAAGGAAATAATTTTAAATGCTAAAAAACCTGCCCTGTGTAAAGTAAATTATTATCTTCCTTGGCTGCCTTCCACTGTGCAAGTGGTTTTTTTGAGCGTATGATCCTGTATTTCTGTAAACATAGGATCAGAGCATTTTTTTAACTCATCCTTCCTATTGTGTGTGTTCCAAGCTTTTTAAAGGTAGCGCGACCCCTACTGGTTGCCGCATGACCTGATCACCTGTTGCCCCATGTTTTTGTCACGTGTGTCTTCTTGAATGGGTGTTCTTAAATGTAATTTCATTGCGCAAACAAGGAAAATAAAGGCTTTCATCATCATCATCATCATCATCATCATCATCATAAATAGATGATTAACTACACAAGCAATAAGATTTGTTTGGGTCCAGATCTGGACCACAATCCACCGTTTGGGGGACTGCTATCTATGAACTGATATGCTGTTAAAAGAATAATTGTAGTGTAAGCGTAAACACTCACGGTTCGACAGGCCACGGCGATGACCGGGCTCCTGATTGCTGTGGTGACAGACACCATGTGGTCGATGACGCCCTCGTCCTCSGGGTTGGTGACGTTTGCGATGTTGAAGACGTTCCGCACTGTGTCCGACAGGCGCTTCAGGCAGCTGCGGGGCTCTTGAGCTTTGGCTACCAGGGATGTCAGCGGGGGCCACTCTAAACTGTGGGGGAGTACAGTTTTATTTAAACTTACTGCACAGAAACTATGAAGTACTTTTGGTTTCAGAATCAATAGAATCAGGGTCGGCCCGTGGCAAAGGCCAGTGATTCCCAACCAGGGGTACGTGTACCCCTTGGGATATGCGAACATATTAAAGGGGGTACGTGGAATGATTTCCCAGGTGTATAAATAAAAAAATAAAAATAGGAATGAGATATGTAGGGCCCTATGATTTCCCAATGCAGAAATCACAGATTTGACACAAAACAGAATCCAGTATAAAGCACAGAATCTCACAGAATTTGCTCATTTGGGTGAGTTTCTGATATATTTTGGACGCTGCTGCTTCCTGCACCAGCAGTTACCTGGTTTATTTTCACTTTCNGAATAAAACGCCTGAGAATTAAATATTCTAGTTAAGGGGGTTAAATAATTTGTTTTATTCAGTTTAATAACCAGTTGTTTTACATTACAGTTTTGGAGAATCGTCTTTGTACTAGTTGGGTAGTTGGGGTACTAGTSGTATGACAAAATGGCTCAGGGGGTACACAAGTCTAAACAAGTTGGGAACCACTGGCATAGGCAGTGTAGGCAAATGCTAAGGGCGGTGTCCAAATAGGGGGCACCACAAATGGGGGACAAAATATATTTATTTACTTTTTATCAGGTCATAGTTGATAGTCAAGTTTATGAAGGTAACTGATTCTGTAGGTTTCTCAGGCTATGAGATGTTATATKGTGCAGAGGATATTTCATGGTAAAAGTATTGTATGATGCAGTCAAGACTAATATCGGTGCTCAGTGTGTAAATAAAAATCAAAATAAGGATAATGGAAGTTTCCGTTCTGATCTCAGATAAAGTTCAGGTTAAAGACTGGTTCTCAGTGTTCTACCTTCATAAAACACTGATTTTATCTTGTTTTATAAATTCCAAGAATTTATTGAAATTCTCTGTAAATGGCTGGAAAATGTAATTTTTTTTACAAAGTTTTCCTGGAGAATATGCCTCTGGAACCCCCTAGAACTGCTTCAGTCAACAACATCAACAACAAAACTATTTAATCTGGTGTGTGAATGTGTATAAACTGGCAGTGAGATTTAGAAAATTGCACAAAGGGCACCACCTGAAATCTTGCCTAGGGCACCAAATTAGCTAGGGCCGGCCCTGAATACAAGTTTACACTTTCTTCAAGATTCCTGTTTTGTTGTATTTTATTGTGCTGCSTAATGCATGTGCATTAGTTTTGCTCCAGAGTTTTATTTTTATAGCAGTTCTCTGGCAGTAAATAAACAGGAGGAGACAGTGTAGTGCCTCTGTCTGGTAAGGCTTGTCTTGAAACTTTGTAGCTGTGATGATTTGTGCAAAACTGCATGGCTAGAAGGGCAGTCGGTACTGTTTATTTTCTACACGACCATCTGGCAAAGCCTGGTGACGTTCTTTAAACTAAAGATTCTGAATGTGAAACTTATAAAATGCCATATGTCTCTTCCTTAAGGCAAGAGAAACTTTTTATACAGCCCCATAATGTTACGTAAATCATTTTTTCTATAGGTTTTGCAGTGTCACAAAACAAGAGGAATATATTTATTTTTATTTTGTTTATGCACATAATTTCATTGTGTTCTGTTTACCTCTGAGGGATGCATTTTGGGGAAATAAAAAAGCAAATAAATAATACAACTGAGGCACCCAGCCTGTGTCCTACCTGTACGCATCACAGTACTGGAACGCACAGGACCGTTCCACCAGGCGCGTCATCACCCAGGCCGTTTCGTACCGTCCCGTAAACACGGCCCACTCTCTGGCTGTCAGGTTGCGACCAAAGTCTCTTGCGTTTAGAGAAGCTCCTGTTGGAAGTCGAGGAAGAAACTGAACCAGACGATACAGAATGGAGGTAAACATCCAGCAGAAAGGTCAGAAAATAAGCGGGAAGGAGAGTTTTAGCAGCTCTAGTAAAACTCTCACAGGGTCCGTTCAGAGTGCAACTATGTTCCGATTTGTTGTAAAGCTCGGAAAATTTGCACCGGTTCTGATGACCCACCTGCCATCATGAGCGAGCGCACGCAGTCCACCCTGCCCTGCATGGAAGCTTTCATCAGAGCAGTGAAGCCGTGGCAGTTTCTTCTCTCGATGTCCAGCCCTGAGTAGTAGTTCAGCAGATAGTTGGTGATTGTTATGTGACCTTTAACAGCAAGGAGGAGAAAAAAAACAAACATGTTTTGGACTCTCACAGGTAAAGTGCATCTAAAACTGCAAACGCAAACAATTTCATACAGTATATGGATGTAAAGCAGCAGCATGATGGAGCAGTGGTTAGAACTGTTGCCTCACAGCAAAAAGGTCCTGGCTCAAGCCCCACTGTGTTTGTGTGGATTTTCTCCAACAAACCAAAAACATGTATTTTAGGTTGCCTTCAGGCCCAGGCTTCTCTTGCAAAAGAGATCTGTAATATCAATGGGATTTGCCTGGATAAATAAAAGCTAATTAAAATAATAAAATTCAGAAGTCAAAATAAATGAGCCAAATATACATATGTAGAACAAATAAGGAATACTAAAATCAGCGAATTAAAGAAAAACATTCAAAAACAAAGTCTAAAGTTTCTAAATCTAATAAGCTTTGTGCTATCTGAGGAACTTGTCAAGGTCTCTGTGTGGAAATATCCTGGTGTGCRTCATTAAAATCCATGGCCACAAGCCAACCATCATTTCTACAAACTGAACTTTTATGCAGACTAATTTTTTGTTTAAAGGAGTCATATCATTTTGAAATCTTTTTTTTTTTACATTTAAATTAGTTGGGGTCTATAAAAAGTGGAACTGCAATGCTTTGGTCTGAATTCCTCCTTATTGTAGCTCCACAAGCCCCTCTTTCACCCCCTTTTTCTGAGGTGTGTCTCAGATCAACTCATTTTGTTGCTGTCTCTTTAAATCCAAACAAGGCGCTTTGTGTTTTAGTGATAATCTTATTAGTCCAGTTAAACTCCCTTTTGTTCAGAGAGTTATTCGTAAAATGGCTCGCACAAATATATATATTTTTTTATTCGCCGGAGGGTTACTTCCAAAAATGAAATCAAACCATGTTTTCAGAACCGTGTCATCCATGGGAAGCTTAAAAGAGGGTAGTTTCCTTGGCATCCAAAAATACATTTCCTCAAAGGCATTTTTTAATCGAAAAGGACTGGACTGACAAGTATTACGAGCCCAGCAGACGTGGTTTCACCAGTTATTTGCTAGTTGTTGCTGCTGATAGCCTGCAGGAGGCGTACAGGAGGCATGTTCTGTGATGAGGAAGCTCGGCTTGGAGACACAGCCCAGAGGAGGAGCTAAACCTAAAAGGTGGTTCTAGGCCCAAGCAACTGATTTTGTTCTCCTGAATGACTGCCTCGGGACAGTACAGGATTTCTCAAACTGAGTGTGTTTTTGATTAGAGGATAACATTATAAAATGATGTAAAGCTCAAGAAAGCTGAAGGATATCTGCAACTTTTAGCAAGTCAAATTAAGACTTGTTAAGACCTTTTCAATACCACCTTGTATGAAATTTAAGACTGAAACAACTGTAAGTATTGGCGATCGTTGGGGAAGTACAGCTGTTTGGTTGGAAACATCCAACAAAAATACATTTAATGAAWACTTGAGCCTAATTGTGTCTTAATGTCCAATTATATCTTTATAAACAAAAAAAATCATGCAACTATCTATAAATTTATACTTTACCCAGCACCATCAAGACCAACAACATTCGGAAGGAAGTGAGTTTTTCAGCCCAGGGGGCGAGCGAAGGCATTGAAGAAACTGTATAAATACATGAACTTCTGGTTTTATGGGCAGTGTGGGTTTCCTGTCTGCCTCAGCGACAATAAACCTTCACTCAGATTCCAGACTGGTGTTGTGTGGTTTCATTCCTTCTACAAATCACTTTATTTAACATTTGTGTTTATCATCTCGACTTCAGTTTATTGAATACAAATTTTCTTACAGTTTACTATGAAGTCATTTAAGTGTGGGGAGGAGGTAACGGTCAAAGTGGACTGCTCATGTGTGAACACATACGTTTAATTCTTAAATGATTAATAATTTATTACATTACTTCACCTTCATAGGGTGACGGGCGGTTCTGGTAGGGTAACAGGTCGAGATGTCTTGTTGGAAAAAAAGAAAAGATGTTTACTCCTGCAGTCTGTGTYTCTGCTTACAGACCGTAGGACCTGCCCTGCTCTACTCTGATTGGCCAAAACGGTGACTCTGGTTCTCTTTATTGGTTGAAAGCAGCGTCAGTCAAATCCAGCGATAGAAGTCCCCGAAAACACACGTTTGTTTCTCCTCCTCACCTTTAGGAAATCCGCAAAGGAGATGAAGAACTTRAATCTGTCCTGCCTGACAAAACTTAAGACCCTTGAGTAACGTATTTAAGACTAACTTACACATTATTCATAAATTCAATACTTTTAAAGACACTTAATTTTAGAAACATAAATATAAGACTTTTCAAGGACACGCGGACATCCTGATGAAAATGCCCCTTTAAGTACTTTTGTGATGTTAAATCCCGAGCCTGTGTAAGGATGGAAAAAATGTTCAAGCCTATTGTTAGGCGATGGCMCTCTTTTGCATGTGACTAACCTGTTTGTCCAGGTGGAGGCAGTGCTTATAAGGCTGAGTTTACCTGAAACTCWTCAGACTGAAGAAGTCTYTTGRASGAGAGACGAAACGTTTCACTAAAGAACCCATCCAGAGGACSTACTTRTTTTTTCTTTTTGATTTTTTTTCTACCTGGATTACTGAGATGCATCAGGACGTTCAAGATATTATTGCACACCTGCCACAGCGATAAGTACTGCAACATATTTGGAATGTCCATATTCATAGAAGACAATGCACATCTCAAGTGTGCATTTTATTGCTTTATTATTGGTATCACGATGTTCATTATGTAGGGCCAGTTCTAACATGCTTGGAAACAAGTTGTCCGACAAAAACTCACACTTTTCTTTGTTTCGGGTGGAAACAGAAACATTGTTCACGTGGCTGGTCGGATCACGCATTCATCACTTGTGTTACAYGATGAGCGGCGCTCGCACAAACTTGTCTGCGTGTTCATCTGCGTCAGCGCTTCTGCCAAAACATTTGTTGTGTCTGTGCAAGCGTGCGGCGCTGCCTGTCAGCATCTGYGCGTGTGTAAACCGAGTCATCCGTTGGTTTGGAGTATATCTGCGTGCACTGCTGCACGTCGGTGTGTTACCTGCTTGCGCAGCGGTGATGAGAGCGGTGTTTCCCTCGCTGTCCTGCCAGTTGACGTCCAGGTGCGGACACTGGGACAGCGCTATGACCACGTCCACAAAACCTTGGTAACACGCAACCATCAGCCCGGTCTGAGACGAGAGAGGCGAGAAGAGAAGACAGAGGGAAGAAAAGGGAGAAAGGTCTAAATCAGCAAAAACACAGTGAAGTGCTGACACACTGTAAGTGTGAGTGGGATTTCACCAGACAAGAGGACCTTTGTGCGTCTTCCAAAACTTAGTATGTCTGATTAAACCTGACATCTGTTGTGTTTTCACTGAGAGACCTTGAACCGTACAGAAGAAGAAGCTGTCTTCCTCATTCCACAATTTATTTGGGACCCATGTAGTCAGAAWTATAGTTGCCTGATGATTTTTTAAATACATTATCAGCAATACTTGACACAAAATCTGAACATGCAGAGAATGAAGCTTGTGGGTTTTTCTGCAAACTTTCAGTTGTTTTTTTTTTTTTAACTCCGCTGCCTTATTGAATTTCTAAACTTCAGAAAAGTAGGACCTTTGATTAAATCTGTCCCAATGTTTGAAATAAAAACGTACTCGGGGAACACCGTGTGCTTGAAGCAAAAGCAGAAAATTGATGGTGCCAACATGAAGTATTAAGCAGATTTTTAAAAGAGCACATAATGTTACAGAGTCTCRTCTGCACAAGGAATATCAATYAGTTTCTTTCAACTTAATAACTTTMTAATTATGAGACTGGGAAACGACTGGAAAACAATAAACAAAGACACGAATATATAATTGCATACTACYGCAGTAAAATAATTGTAAACATGTTGATGAGATAATGAATCTGTTTGCTAAAGTCATCAGGACATGCTGAATATGTTTTGTTTTCTACCTTTTTTCACATATTAAGAAAAATTTCTCACAATGCATTTAGTTATCTTCTTTTCAAAACTAAAACACACAAGTTCATAAGTACAGAAAGGGAAATGACCCATCTGCTCCTACATTAGACTTCAATATMTGTAAATATGACTAAGGTTGTATTCACACCTGATGGTCCGGTAGACTCGGTTCGATTGGGGACCAAAACTGCAAGGTTTGTTTACATTTTCAGTTGGTGTGGTTCACATTCACACTGCACTATGTCAACCAAACTAAACTCTATGAACAACCTGTTCCCCCCACCTCACCTGTGGGGGTGCTGCACCAACAACCACTGAAGGAATCAACACAAAAACCGCAGAAGAAGACACTGAGCACAACTTACTTCTTCACAAAGTGTAAACAAACATGGAGTGATGTCAGATTTTTACGACGGAGTATTAGGGCCGCACAACGAGATTTTTTTATTATCAATACAAGAATAAAGTCATAATATTATGTGAATAGATTAAAGTCATAATTTTACGAGAATAAATTCATAATATTACGAGATTAAAGTTGTAATATTACAAGTCATAATCTTACAYGACGTGTCCATTTTCCATTCCTCATTTCATCCTTATTTTCCTCACACATTCTGTGTATAGCCATGTGTCTGTATTCATGAAGTAGTCCGTGATGACTTGGGTCACTGTTAGATTAATATGCTTCCATCCAAATTAGCTACGTGCCGACAATCTGTCAATGCATCCATTAATTACAATACGGCTTCAGTTTATCATATGGTCGTTTGTACAATTTCCAAGTCCTGCTACTGATAATTTGATGCTAATGTGCTAAAAGATCAACTGTTTATTTTAAGTAATACTAAAGAACAACTTGACAAGTTGCTCAACATTTTTCATTTTAATGCAGTGACAGCTGCATGCTTTTTTCCTGAGTGGAAGATGAGGCAAARCCGCAGGCGGCTAAGATGGCTCTATATGAGGTGGGGTTCACCGAGTAGGAGCACGTCCAAGTTCAGTGAAGTGATTTCCATCTTACACAGACATYGAGCGAGGTATTTACAAGATATGAATAACTTTATTACTGTTATTACTCAGAATGCCCTGCRTTACAGTCCACTTCCTGTTTTTGGAGCGATCTCTGGCCCGCTTGGTATCACACATGCAATCAAACCGCACCAGAGTTCACTGCAACTGAACAGAGACCTTGGTTTTCAGGCAAACTAGAGTTTCCTTTTTTGGTCCAAATCAGAGTTCGATTACACGTTCACACCTCTCCAATCGAACTGGACTTCCTWGACAAACCAACTAGAGTTTGAGTGGACTAAACAGGGCTGRTGTGAATACACCCTAAGTTGTACCCATTTTATCTTGACTAAGGTTGATTAAGTATGATAACTATCTTTTATTGGGAGGGCGGTGTTCATTTAATGATTACTTTCWGAGAGTTGCATCAAAATCTGTCTATTAGTTCTTATAATGTAGATGTTTTGTTAACATTGCTGACAAAGGTCACAAGGACACTTTGGCGGCAGGTGATAATTTTTGCAAAATTTTAAAGAACTAATTAAAGGCTGACATTTTAAATTGTCAGTGCAAAGTACAGTGTGTGTTCAAGATTTGGATCATTTCAGATCAACTAACCATAATTTTATGTTTTTTTTAAGATGAAAACTGATTATTTTTATAGTCTTGTAATGCTGTTTAGTGAAAACRCACTCCCCGTTAAGATTTGATGAATTAATTTAATCTTTACATGTTCACTAAGAAGTTTATATTCATGAATGTTAGTAGTCAAACTGTTCCCTCCAGAAACTCCACAACTTTTCCAGGAGTTTTCCAGCTTTTAGTGCTCATAAATGTTCACTCGGGGTAACATTTGCACACTTATCCACAAACACACACACATCCTTGGCGGACCTCCAGCCTTGCTGTGGTGTACTTATACAGCGTGCCCTGCAGCCTGTCTGGAGCGTTCTCAGTCATCTGTCTGAGTTTTGTTTTGTTCTGTTTGTGAATCTTTCTCACAAACACACATAAAACGTTTATTTTATACCACTTTCACTCAGATCATCTCTACTCTGCTCATTCCTTCTGCTATCAGTTTTTGTGCTGCAGATTAGAGGATACAAATCTAGGCAACACTATCCAAAAACTACCCAAATTTTAGTTGATTAAGATGAGTGGTTATGCACGAGTAGGTAGTCCAGAAAACGTGTAATTAAAATAACTGAGATGGGTGGGGAATGAACCAAACAAACAGAAAGATGAGAGTTAGAAGATCTGGTTGAAGGGGTCCAGGGGTCCAGGCTGTGGGCACGGGGACTCTGTTAGGGGACAAGCAGACACTCTTTCAACCACTCCAGAGATCGGAGTGACAAAGCAAAACAAAAAYCTTTGGCAGAGCTCGGCCAGGCGAGGGGCATAACTGGGAAGGCAGGTTTCTCTTCCAGGGTAACGGGACTCCAGATGGGATGTCTGCAGGCCAGCGTGGCAGGGATTGGTGGGACGCTTACAGGCTCTGCATCAGACAAAAACACCAATGGGCTCTGGACCATGAAAGACGAATTGTCAGCCAACTCACGGACCTGGGCAGGCAGAGCGTCCAATACCCCAAGAACCTGAACCTGACGTCTCAGGACATAACTGGGACTTGGACCAGAAGCTTATCAGTTCACTCGCAGACTCGGCAGATCCTCTCAGGAGGTGAACTGGTTCACAGTCCACTTTATTTCACCTAAAGTTGAATGCATTTGTTAGCGGAACATTTACTCGGCTCTCTTTGTTTGAACACGGTCACTACACGGTCCCTGACTTGGACAATTCAAAGATGAGTCCCTGTGAGGAGTAATGAACTCAAACAACAGGTGTGATCAAGAACAAACTGAAGTCACGTGTGAAGAACTAAAAGCTGAGCTGAAAACAGAGACGAAGGGCGACTCTCAAACCGTAAGTAAAAGAAAAAGAAAAAGAAAGAAAAAAGTACTGAATATAAAAAACATATCCTAGTATAAAAATATTCAAATACTTCTGATCTTGTTAGAGATACATCCTGTCCAAGTCATCAAATCAACTGAAACTAATCAGAGGTAACCATGCAAACATTTATCTTCAGTCGGTTTATAATCCCAAATCGACCAACTGAGCTGCAGGTTTGACAGTTCTTGGGTGAGGTGACAAGAACAAGCTGAACCACATATCTTTCAGCTTAAGATCCTTCATCAATATATATTTTTATAATCTATCAGTGTCGCAGCATAAACCAAAAAAAATTTAAAAAG